GACGGGGTTTCACCATGTTGACCAGGATGGTCTCGATCTCTTGACCTTGTGATCCACCCGCCTCGGCCTCCCAAAGTGCTGGGATTACAGGCTTGAGCCACCGCGCCCGGCTGCTGTCATTATTTTTATAGACCTCAGTCTTGCTCACAATGCAAAGAATAAACAGTCCTGGTACAACTGTGGGTTATAAAGGCACCAAAATTCAGACTCACAAATGAAACGTGAAAACATGGCTGAACTTCAATTCCCAAAATGCAACCAGTTTTACTGGACTGTTGCTATTTTTCACCACACTGCATGGACATTCAATTCAACAACCATCCACTACGTGCCTACAGGGTGCAAGAAACACACACACAAAAAATCATCAAAATGATTTCTGCTGTCTCCTAAGAACTCAAAATTCTGGTGTGTAAACAAGTTCTTAACCTTCTCTGGGACACAGTCACATCCATGAAGGTGCTAGGATCTCTTTACCAAAAAAGTACAGCCAAGACATATCCACACATGAAAACTCTGATACAAGAGGGGGCACGACAGAGCCCTTGATTCCCTGTCAGAATGGGTGGGAATGAGCATGTCTGGCAAAAGAAATCTAGGGAGACTTCCTGGAACAAGGAGGATCCCAGTTAGACCTTGAATGAGAGGCACATTTTCCATAGGAATTGGAGGAAATGCCATAGCTCCAAGAACAGGCTTGTCAAGGAATGGCAAAAGCTCTTACAATAACTGGAGAGAGGAAAGGCTGAGAGAGCAACCTGGGAAATGGGTCGGAGTCAGATTTCAAAGAGCTAGAATGCAGACAGGTATTAAATAACAATGTTCTGTGCACTGCACAGGCAGTCTAAAGGATGCTAACAGACTAACTGTGTCAAAGGATTCTACAAACATTTCTCAAAACCCTCACAAAAATCCTATGAAGACGACAGCATAACATTTCAAAAATGAGAAAAAAATAAGGCTCGGAGAGGTTAAGTAACTTGCCCCAGCTCCTGCTGGCAAAAGAAGTAAAAAATTACGCAGCACACACCAAACAGCGTAGGAAGATGATGATGTAGACAGAGGAGTAGAAAATTAATAAAATCCTAAAAGGTTAAAAACTGGAAACAACACCAGAACCATTTTTACTTCTGCAGATAACCTGAAGCCCTGACTTGATTCTAACATTCGTGTTTCCACCCCTTTGAGTCCTATGCTCTCAAAGCTTCTCATCCTCCTAATATTCCAGATCTTCATCTTAACTCCACAAAAGCAAAGCAACAAGAACCCTCTCTCCTAACCCCTGAGACTTCTAACACAGAACCCCCAGACTTGATAGTCCTTACCATGCCACTGCCCCTGCTCACTCAGTACATTCAGCCTTCTCTGACCTGCCCATTCACAGCACCAGGAAGTGCTATCACTACCAACCCCCCAACCAACACATGTTCTCAGTACTCATTCAAGAGTCACAGAACATGGAGCTGAAAGAAAACTCCAATCTGCGACCTCCAGCCAATCTTCTCAGCTGACAAGAGGTGACTCTCCCAAGATGTCCCACCAAGTTACATGAAGAACAGGATGTAGCTAGTTTTCCTAATTCTAGTTTCACGGACTCTACTAAGGAGCACTTCTTAAAGTGGACTCCAAAAAAAAACCACCATTATCAATTATAATGAATGGCTTGTCAGTCTAAACTATTTTTATCTTAAAACATACTATTACAAAGTGGAATGCAATTTTCACATACATCATTTCCTGCTGAGGTTCTTCAAGCTGTACATCCACGCTGTGCAAACTCTTAGGAGGAAATGCATGAGTAGCCTAACTCTACACCAACAGTCTACTTCCCAAAATATTAAGGAAACAATTTGAAGTTCCACAGTTGTGCAGCCCAGCACTCCCATCCAAATTATTCTCTGCCTATGTTTAGCAGAGACACCAAGCATCCCAATTCTCGTGGAGGTGGAGGGGCGGACCACAGGAAAGAGCCTTATGCCATCAAGTTAGGGACAGAAAAAGAAAATCCCTAAGAGGCAGATAAGTAGGAGTGGGGAGGTCAGGAGATCACCTACTACCGTGGAGAAATGTTATGCTGGTACCAAGTCATTCAATCTCATTCAGTGTTGTCGTACCCCACAACAAAACCCTTGTCAATACTGAAATCTACCTTTACAAGCCTCCCGCCAAATGAGTTTATGTGGATAAAAGAACAGGTCTGGCCAGGCACAGTGGCTCACAGGTGTGAGCCAGAACTTTGGGAGGCCAAAGTGGGTATATCACCTGAGGTTAGGCATAGCCCACATGGTGAAACCCCACCCCTACAACTAAAAATACAAAAATCTGCCAGGCATGATGGCACATGCCTGTAATCCCAGCTACTCGGGAGACTGAGGCAGGAGAATAGCTTGAACCTGGGAGATGGAGGTTGCAGTGAGCCAAGGTTGCATCACTGCACTCACAGCCTGGGCAACAGAGCGAGGCTCCATCTAAAAAAAAAAAAAAAAATGGTTCCCAGGATTCACCCTAATCTACCCAAACAAAATATCCAGGGTATATGTGTTTTTAAAAGTTCCTTGGCCAGGCACAGTGGCTCACACCTGTAATCCTAGCACTTTGGGAGGCCAAGGTGGGCAGATCATGAGGTCAGGAGTTGGAGACCAGCCTGGCCAACGTGATGAAACCCCGTCTCTTCTAAAATATAAAAATTAGCTGGGTGTGATGGCACATGCCTGTAATCCCAGCTACTCGGGAAGCTGAAGCAGGAGAACTGCTTGAACCCGAGAGGCGGAGGTTGCAGTGAGCTGAGATAGTGCCACTGCACTCCAGCCTGGGCGACAGAGTGAGGCTCTGTCTTGAGGAAAAAAAAAGTTTCTTAAGCAATGCTGATGGTTGAGAACCACTTCCAGAAAACATGACACCTCTCTTAGCCAGCTATCTGCTGGCGACTGCCCCCTTGGCTTCTGTGAAACTTGCTGCTCTCCACCAAGATTTTCCCCAAGGTCTATTCTTCACCTTTGGCTCTTCTCTCTCCCTCAGGTGTCCCCAAAACCCAGGTGACAGTTCAGTTAATACATTATCACTATTCCGGTCACCCAAGTTGAAACCTTGGATCATCTTTAACCCATCCCTCCCCTTTCTCCATCCCTGCTCCCCATCTCCACTACTTCATTAAACTGGTCACCAAACCTTAATCTATAGAAGTGTCTTAGAAGAGGTAGTATCAGATAAATGAGTTACCAGGTAAAATGAGTGCACTATCTCTGTCAGTGCATCTGTGAAACAAAGACCAACCTCTCTGGTTATGTTAAGGGTTAAGTAAGATGATAACAAACCCAGAATATAAAACGTATGGTATTAGTACATATTAGGTGCTCAGTATATACTTCTGCATACCTTCCTGCAAGCTACAATCATCCTAGACAAGTGTCTTCATCCTACTGTGGAATGGTTAAATAATAGAACACAAAGATATGGAATCCACAAAATGAAATTTTTAGTTCCAGCTCTATGGTAAACTGGCTGTGTGTTCTTGGTCAAATAATCTTGCTGAACTGGTACGTAAACTTGAAACTTACCTATTTCACAGAGACACTGAAGATCAAATGGCAAGACTTCATTAAACTGCCATAATGTCCTGCTAAAGGCCACCTCCAACAGCTCTCTGATCACTAAGATGGGACTTATGCCAGCTGATAAGGATGAGAAACAGCCTTAAGTTCTGAAACTGAATCCTAGTGCAACCCCATCCCTCATTTGGCCCTACTACCCTGGTAGTTACCAAGATATTCAAAGCTTTGGTTTCTACTGAGGAAAGTAACATCTGATCAACGTGCAACGTGCATTAAGACTTGAGGAGGAAACATCTGAAGCACTTTATAAACTGTAACATGCTAGAGAACTGGGGGAGGAATCATCAGCATTTCTATCTTCCTGGGTTTCTGCAAACAGGCTTAATGCTTGGCTAAATAGTTTCTTTCAATCTCATCAGAAGTCCCACCTCTCTTATAAAACCTTCTTCACTTCCCAACTATCATTTCTATTTCCTTTCTTTACAGTGGGCTCTATCAAATAATTGCCCTTACAGAGTTTTCTGTTACTTTCTGGGTTTTCTCTCTTTAACTGCAAGTGTCACAAGGAGAGAGAAACCATTACTTAAACACCCGTATCACCCATACCTGTGGCAACTAAGTGTAAACTACATTCAGCCAACAGTTGCTTACTATAACATTCAAAAGTGCCCAGTCAACTTCACTGAATGCGTACTGACAGCGCTTCCAACATACAATAAACTTAACCTGGAAGGTACGTAATTAAATTCAAATGAAATTTTAATAATCACTACAATGACCGTCTTTGACCACGGCCACACCCACTGATCAACACAATGCCTCCGTCATCCCCGCCAACTCAAGTGCTTTCGTAGTTCTGGGGCGTGCACGTTTCTGCTGCTGTAAATGTCCTTCCTTCTGTCTGGCCTGCATAGATTTCACTCCCTCACTAGCAGCCCCCAGCACCCTGAGGGGTACGCGTTGCCGGGTGCTGAGCAGGGATCTTAACAGCTGGCTTACTACTTCTGAAACCTCAGGACGTCCCGAGCGAACCCCGGCTGCTCCCTCAGCCGAATAACCTGACATCCAATCCGAGCTTCAAATTATTCAAACCATTCTCGCAAGCTCAACCCTAGGACACCAAGAAAAGGAGGAAACAGACTGGGAGAGCTTGGAGGAGCGGTAGCCAGGAGTCAGTGCAAGTCAGGGGCGGCGGTTCCTCAGACCGCAGGCCCGCCCTCACCTGCAGCACCAGGGCCTGCGCGGCCCCGGGCGGGAAGCCCATGCGATCCGACGGGTGGCGCAGCAAGCGATAGAAGTCTGTCTTGCGGTAGAGGAAGCCAAAGAGAACGCGCAGGAAGTCCTGGACGTTGCCCACGTGCTGCAAGATGCCCAGAAGGGCCTGGTCATACAGCTCGGCCGCCCCGGGATCCATGTCGCCTCCCGCTCTAGGGACGGTCCACACTCAGGGCGCCGCCTGAGACCTGCCGACTGGCCACTTCCGGCGTCCGCGGCCAACAGCTCCGCCGGACAGCGCGGCCGCGGAACTTCCGGTCCGTGCTAGTTCGGCCCCCGCGGCCCCGGGCTGTTTTCCCCGGACCTGGCTGCCCCACGGGCTTTGCCCTGAGGTGATCCTCCACAAAAGAGCCCAACAAGGGCAGCTATTAAGTTGCTAAGTGCAAAGAGGCCCGCGGCTGCAGCGCTGCGGGCACTTGGCCGCCATATTTGAAGCGGGCGGAAAAAAATTATGGTGCGTGCAATGTCACGTGATTGCTCGGATTTTTATCACGTTGTCTGTGGAGCCTTTCTCATTCCTGGGTTGAATTCCCGCCTGGGTATTCGGAACCTGCGGTTAAAGCTAGGGTTGTGGTGAGGTTTTTGTTAGTAAGCCATATACGGGAAAATGCGTATATGTGGGAAGTATGGATTTCTTATTAATAACAGAGCTTTGAGTTAAACTCAGGGCGTTGCATCAGAAGAAAGTCAAGTTGACGAAGAAAAGAAAGAGTGAGCGCATTCACATATGTTAAGTGGAAAGAGCTAGATTCAGAATAGGGAAACTATGCCATCGTTGTGAAATATGTACATATATCTGTGTATAATATGTATATGCATATATACATCATATATATGTATAATGTATAATATATACATGCGTTGTATATGTGTATATATAATGTATAATATATACATGCATTATATATGTATATACATACATAATGTATAATTGTGATATATAAATAACACATTAGTATGATGTAATATATTAAAAAGACTTGTTCTTAAGTGGAGAACTTTTATAAAACAGCTTTTATTTTTTT